GCAGGAGGCTCAAATGAGCGCAGGAAGTCAGAGCTGCAGTGAGCTGTGATGGCACCACTACACTTTAGCCTCGGTGACAAAAAGAAAATCTTACGGAGTTAATGTTGCCAGAACCCATATTGCTTAGTGTTTAGGTTATTTTCAGATTTTGCTGCTATAAATGATAATAGAGTGAACACGTTCATGCATGTTATTTCTTTCTTCTTTGAATTATTTATTGAGAATAAATTTCCAGGGGTGGAATGAATGGATCAAAGTGTATGAACACTTTAATGGCTCTTGGTACGTATTGTCAAATTGCCGTATTTATATTTTACACAGTTCCTCAGTAGCATGCTAGTAAATGTTTAACAACAGGCTTGCCCACCCCCCAGAAAAAAGGTGGGGAGCCTGATTGATTGTGTTCGTTGATTTTCACAGTGTAAATACTTCTACCATAGCCAGTTTCAAGCCACCAACATGGCATTGCTGAATGCAAAATTGAAAAGAGATGCTCAAATAGCACATTTTTATACAGCATTTCCATCATACAGAGAAGTCAATAGCTTTACTGGCTTGGAAAATTTCCAAAAATATTACAATCAGCACATGCCAGCAAGCCTGTTCTAGAACACCACTGTAAATATCTCCGTTGATATTTTCCAAGAGTATATCTTTTTTTTTTTTTTTTTTTCATTAGAATCATTGAAAATTCACCCTGTGCCCATCTGTGTGACAAATAATGAGCATGCTTTTAGGTCAGCAGATGATGCAAGTAATGAATAAAACCTAATGCAAAAAAAAAAAAAAGCAGGGACAGAGTAGGACATCTCACTCCCGCCTGGGTTGAATAATTCTTGTCTACCACCCTCAAGCATTCATTTTACAGTGCTTTTTTTCCATGAGATCATGTTTACAGACTATTCCATCATTTATTTACTCTAACAAGGCCCTGAATGGATGCCCGTGTGTAGTTGTCACGGCAAATGTGATGAGAACCGTATCCTCTATTTCTTAACCACTCTCCTCCTTGGTTTTCTTTTCTACGAAATGGGGAAGAGGTCACTGCTGACTTCACTTTTACCGGAAACTGAGTGCAGAGACAAGAAAGGTTCAACTTAGGCTCTAAGAAGCACTTGAACATTCCGTAATGCTCTGGAAATTTCTTCCAAAAGCAATTCATTCGCATTCTGTTTTGCCAGGAAAGAATGTGATGTGGCCCTTTCTCCCTCGAAAGGAACTTCCCTTCTTTGGGCTCCCCCAGAGTATACAACACTTTAGTTTTTGCTTTAGCTTTTGGGGTTTTTTTTTTGAGATGGAGCTTCTCTCTTGTTGCCCAGGCTGGAGTACAGTGGCACGATCTTGGCTCACTGCAACCTCCGCCTCCCGGGTTCAAGCAATTCTCCTGCCTCAGTCTCCTGAGTAGCTGGGATTACAGGCATGTGCCACCACATCCAGCTAATTTTTGTAGTTTTAGTAGAGATGGGGTTTCACCCCATGTTGGCCAGGCTGGTCTTGAACTCCTGACCTTGTAATCTGTCCGCCTCGGCCTCCCAAAGTGCTGGGATTACAGGCCTGAGCCACCGTGCCCGGCCAACACTTTAGTTTTTAAATTAGTGGTACCCTATGTTTGCATGTTAAAATGTAGGCGTGACTGAGCTAAACAGCCTCACACCCTTGAGCCAGTCACCCCACTCCCAAGAACTCATCCCAAGGAATACATTCAAAACAAAGGAAAACACTTTCTGTGTGAAGATGTTAATCACAACAGAGAATAAATCAACTTGCCTCATTTCAGCACTTACTCAACTTATGGTTTTAGGGGCCCTGGTAGGAGAGCTCTGGATTCTTGGTTCCTAAATCTCCACCTGTAAAGCGACCGCTTTCCAAGCTGTCTTAGGGCTTGTATTTTTTAATCACACAGATTCCTGGACCTCATGCCAGGGCTGGGGTACCAGACATGGAATTTCAATTTCTTAAAAGTTCCCCAAGTGGTGTTGATGATATCCAGCCAGCTTCAGGAAACACCATTCCACACTGAAACACCAGACACATGACCGCCGTCTCTGAACAATCGTCCACATCCGGGGAACAGTATGACAGCTTCATAAGTCGTCAAAAGGTTCTTCAGGGCCTTCAAGCAGTTGCTAGAGTCAAAGGGCTAAAGAGCCATGGAGGAGCTGTAGGTTTCTGGTGCCCTTCAACCCCCCTGGGTCATCCTCCCATCTCTGACACCCTCCTTGCTCTCATTGCCCGCCCCAGCCCCACACTCTGTCATGCTGCCTCCCAGCCTCCACCTGCACACCCAGCCCTGACTTATATCCATCCCTTTACAGACACAAAGCTCCAGAGTCTCCTCCCTTGGGACGCTAGTGGGACTCTAGAGGAAAACTCTCGTCGTCTGGCTCACGCATAACCCAGAGTGCCCTGCACAATTAACACGCCAGGTGGATTTGGAGGCTTTTAATCCAAAAAGTATTTCTAATCTAGAGAGTGGAATGGGGAAGAAGGATGCTTTTTAATCTTGGCTTTCACCTAGATCCAAGCATCCCGAACCCAAGTAAGCACTCATTGCCACAATGATCCCCACTCCTAAGCAGAAATGGATGTTTAGCTGTACTTTGCTAGCACTAACATTAACACATTGTAAGGTAAAATTAATTTAAACTTGGCAAGGAAGAAAGGTCATGCTCTCTGCCTCTAATGAAAAGCACCTCTGGAATTCCACCCCAAGCATTCAGAGAGCAGCATCAGCCAAAGAGGCCCACAAGTAATGCGGCGGATACTCAGAGGAACGCTCTTCAAAGCTAGAGAAACTGTTACGGAAAGGCTTGAAATCGCAGTTTCCAAGTTTGTTTTCCTTTTTCGTATGAATTATCACTAGAAAAACACCCAACCCCTGTGTCTTGTCCATATTTGGTGCTCAAAAAACGTGAATCCCCAGCCTCCACCTGTCACCGCGGCTTTTCCTGGAAAGGAATGTTGGGATTAGGACCGTCAGCTGGCAGCTTTCTTGCTCCCAAGCCAGGGATCGTAACACCTTCATTTGCGTTAATAGCCAAGTCCTTAAGAATCACAAGAGTTGCATCTATTGAGAGATTTTTTTTTTTTTTAATCAGGCACTAGGCTACATCCTTTATATATCTTTATCTCATTTGATCTCTACAACAATCCTCTAACGTAGGTATTTTCAGTTATTATTACTGTTATTAGAGCTATTTTGTGATTTTTTTAAAAAGCATCTGAACACTGAAGAAGTAACTTGTCTGAGGTTCCCACAGCCCAGAAACTTATGATAAAATGATAGAATGGGGATTCAACCCAAAACGATCTGGCTCCAAAGTTGGGTTCTCATTCACCCACCATGCTGTATGTTTGTTATTCTACGAGTTCAGATATTTTATGGACCAGAAAAAAAATAAGTGTCTGAATCATTATGATCTACTGACTCTCCAAAGAAACGTCCAGAAAAAGAACAGAAGCAGACCCGAGCCATTGCATTTAGAAATGCAAAGAAAGTGCCACATATTTCATGGAATTTGGGGACTGGCTTTTGAGGAATAGAGACTTGCTTATCATTCATCAACCAACTCATCCTCCCTAGAGGAAGGCTACTTTAATTCCCAGATGACCGAAGGGCCTCCTTAAAACGTAGAAAGCAGAGGTAGAGGCCTTACCAGTACTCGGAGCTGCACGAACCTTCCTCTGCATGAACGATGCCTTCAGGGACGACAGTAGCGGGTGAGTGGAGGCCCACAGACAGGCGAATGGATGCAGAAAGCAGCCCCCGGTGGGAAGAGGTCAAGCTCCCTCTCACATGGAACTCCGCTAGTGCGGTGAGCCGAGGAGACGCAGCCAAAAGGCAGGAGACCAGTAACTAATGAACGGGGTCACTTTTCCCCAGTGCCTGCAAGGTCCTCCCTTTTGTGTGCACACCCTAACTGTCTAATCTGATTTCCTGCAATGCGCAAAACAAACTGCCTTCTCCTCTCCAGCGTCTCTTCAACTGGCCTAGTCATCTCCACATCAGTGTCCCCTTTGTGCCTTTACCCACAAAGTCCTCCCAGTCTGAAATCACCTTCCCCTGCTCCGTCTACCAACACTTCGCGTCCTTCCAAGGCCCAGATCTTCCCCCAGACCCCCTCCCTGATGTTTATATAGCTCTTCAAGCCTGTGCTGCCCCGCTCATCACTGAATTCTCATGTTGCCTTGCTTCCTAAATTTTACTTCTTATCCTGACTACTAGCTTATAAGGTCCTTCGAAGTAGAGATTTTTGAAATAGTTCTCTTATAGCCTCCACAGCACCAGCTAAGAACCAGTAAGGGATCACCAACTACTTGTTGCCTGCTTGAATACGTTGGCAGCAATTTTCATTTAGTAAAGCCCCTAAAACCGGTGATTTCCCAATCTTTGTTTAGCTACAACTCAGGCTACTGACTGGTATCTCATAGCACATCTCCAAATCAAACCACCTTGGAAAAAAAAAATTAATTTAATTTAAAAATACATGTTATACGTCATATAGCACTTTCGGGAAGTGGACATGAGCATTGGCAATAGGTGAAAAACACAGGCTACGAATTCCAGATTGAAATCTACATCATTTAGATTTAGGTTCTGTTTCTTTTCTGAACTAGATAACTTTAAAATTCATATTTGCACTACTTAGAGACTCTTTAGATTTACTTCATCAAACCTTGGATAATATTTAAACTCCCCACAGAGGTGAGCTCAGTCACCGTTACAGGCATATTTATTCTCTAGGAGAATATCTGGAAAATCAAAAAGCCAACTATTGTAACTTTTTAATGTTTCAAAAACTGTACACATCTTATTAGGACGCTGGTGAGGTGTGGTGAATATCAAAGCAACCCCCGCCCCATCCCCCTATAAATTGGTTCTACACCTTACGCCAGGTGGAACAGTCATTACAATGTTTAACCTAGAGTAAAAGCTAAATAAACTTAGAAGAATTCCTTTTGACACCAAATAAATACTTTTAAAGAAGCAAAACCCTTACCTGTTGCAGAATGCCGAAGAAATTTCTTGACAGTAAAATGACTGACTCCGGAAATCAAATTTGTTCAGCAAAAGGAGGTGAAAACAAAAGCAAGAGCAAGCCTTTTCCCCGTGGCTGATTTCCTCCCCGGATCAACCTTTCCCTCGTCCCCAAGAATGTTAACTGATTCACACTAGAAGAACCGAAAACGTAAGAGCTGGGCTGGCAGGGAGTCCACCCCAAGATGGTTGGGTTTAATGTACATGAGGCAGCAGGAGCAATCCGAATGCGGCAAAAGAGATTAGCAAGTTCCTGTGCATAAGTCAATTTCCTGTAGCCGGCTTTTCCGCAGAGGGGGTTTCATTTGTGTGGGTTTGGGGGGTGTGTGTGTGCACGTGCATTTCTCTCCATGAGCATATGAAACTTCCCCAGATCAGAGGCAGAATAAGGCCCTTGCTGCGAGTTTTAATTGATCCCCCACCCCACCCCGAGACCATATTTCTCTCCTCCTTAGCCCCATTTTCCTCGAGCAAATCCCTACACAAAACTGAAGAAAGGAAGACCGGAAAGTTCAGCTGATTCGTCATGGAAGTAAAATTACCAAAAAAAAAAAAAAAAAAAAAAAAAAAAAGGCCATGCCACTGACCAGTCTTGGTTCATTTGAGCTCAGGAAACAGCACCTTAGACCTTTCCCCACATCAGCTTGGGGAAAACAGGTGGGTTGTCTGCTTTCCTTTGCTTCATTAAAGACTATCAAATAATAACTTGCAAAGAACAGATGCCGCCTTAGTGAGAGTTCAAGCAGCCCCCGCCGTGTGTTCGCCCCTGTATGGGCTGGCACCTGGGCTTGGGAGGTACGTGATGAGTTGTTTTTTCAGACTCCTCAGAGTTTATTTGCCTAAAAACACAAGTTTACTTGCTTTGTCCTTCTGGGCAATCCAGGTGTAGAGACCATCTGCAACTACATAGGTTATGGCTAAATGCCTGACCCAACAAATTGAACTTTCATGATGTGGTCACCACCCCTTGTGCCCCAAATCCCTGAATAATTGTAGATGCTACTGCTCACAATGATACCTTGGTCAAAATGTCTGCCGGCCGTAAGGATAAAGTCAACTCCATACAAGTCAACGCACATTTACAGAGACCCTGCTACGTGCAAGATACGGTGCTCAGTGCTGGGGTTGGGGTGGGGACACGCATAGACTCAGAGTCCTGCCGTGTGCCTGACGCTGTGCAGCAAAGAAAAGAACAAAGACGAAGGGAGACATAGTCCCTGTCCTCACAGCACCCAAATCCCAGGGGAGTTAGGGGGAAATGCACAGAAACCATTCAAATAAATGCAATCAGGCTGGGCACTCTGGCTCACGCCTATAATCCCAGCACTTTGGGAGGCCAAGGCGGGTAGATCACCTGAGGTTGGGAGTTCAAGACCAACCTGACCAACATGGAGAAACCCAGTCTCTACTAAAAATACAAAATAGCTGGGCATGGTGGTGCAGGGTGCCAGCTACTCAAGAGGCTGAGGCAGGAGAATCACTTAAACCCAGGAGGCGGAGGTTGCGAGGTTGCAGTGAGCCGAGATTGAGCCATTGCACTTCAGCCTGGGCAACAAGAGCAAAACTCTGTCTCAAAAAAAAAATGCAATCATTCCAAATGCTGGGAACTATTACAAACAAACCAGAGAAGAAGCAGAGCGAGACAGCAGGGTGATAACTTCATCCGAGAAGTGGTCAGGGAGGGCCTCTTTGAGAAGCTGACATTTAAGCTGAGACTTAAAGCCTTGTCTCTCAGCCCTGGCTGCAAATTAGGATCATCTGAGAAACTTAAAAAAAAAAAATCAGTGCCCGACAGAAAAGACAAACCGCGTATGTTATCATTTATATGTGTGAGCTAAAACATTTGAACTCGTGGAGATAGAGTGGAAAATAGGTAAGAGACTGGGAAGGGCGAGTGGGGGGTAGAAAGGAAGATAAAGAAGTGAGTTAAAGGGTAAAAACACACAGTAAGATAGCAGGAATAATTCAATCTTTGATAGCGGAGGAGGATGACTATACTTTTAAAAACGTATCACCAGCCTGGGCAACATAGCAAAACCCTGTCTCTACTAAAAATGAAAAGTCTTAGCTGGGCATGCTGGCACATACCTGTAGTCCCAGCTACTCAGGAGGCTGAAGCAGGAGGATTCCTTGAACCCATGAGGTTGACGCTGCAGTGAGCTGTGATCCACCAACACACTCCAGCTTGAGGATACAGCAAGGCCCTATCTCAAAAAAAGAAGGAAAGAAAGTAGAGAAAGAGAGAGAGAAAGAAAGGGAGAGAGGGAGGGAGGGAGAAGGGGAAGGATGAGTGGAGGGGAGGGGAGGCAGAGAAAGAGAGAGAGAGGGAGGGAAGGAGGGAGGGAGAGAAAGAGAGAAGAGAGAAAGAAACGAGAGATAATCCTCTGTGGAAAGCCAGATCCCCATCATGATGTCATCAGCTGAGCAGAACAGAAGCTTGTGGATACTTAATTTACTTCTGGTTTTGTTCATCAAATGATTTAGAGCACCTTGCGAAACTACTTAGACCTTAGCAAGATGAAACAATTAAAAACAAGAAATCTGAAAATGAGGCCAAGAGAAGCGAAGACAAAAATTACACTAAAACCAGGGGTGAGGTTAACACAGAGAATGCATGCCTTGTGGTTCTACGCTCTTCAGACACTGGCATGAGGCAGGAAATACCACCACAAAGAAAACCCATTGCTTGCGGGAGAAACACGAACACACAGCTCAGAAGCATGAGATCTTCCTGGCTCCCAGTGCTGAGGTTAAAGAGAAACTTTGGCCCTGGATTCCCATAGAGAAGACAACACCGCCGAAGTGAAACATCACATTCAGACTAAATGCAGCCAGCCACGAGTGGGTGAGGTGGTTCCTTATATTTTAACTCCATGTATACTGACTGCATCTCACCAAAGAGTTCACTAAAATTAACTCTAGGGCGTGCGGCAGGGAGCGTGCAGCAGGAGATTAACAGAGTGTGCTACCCCACAACACCGCTTTGATGTTCCTATTTTATCCAGACATGAAAAATAACTTCATGGGCCAGACACAGCGGCTCATGCCTGTAATCCCCATACTTTGGGAGGCCAAGGCAGGCGGATTGCTTGAGCCCAGGAGTCCAAGACCAGCCTGAGCAACATAGTGAGACCCAGTCTCTAAAATAATAATAATAGGCCGAGTGCGGTGGCTCACGTCTATAATCCCAAAACTTTGGGAGGCCGAGGAGGTTGGATCACTTGAGGTCAGGTGTTCGAGACCAGCCTCGCCAACATGGTGAAACTCCATCTCTACTAAAAATACAAAAATTAGCTGAGTGTGGTGGCACATTCCTATAATCCCAGCTACTCGGGAGACCGAGGCAGGAGAATTGCTTGAACGTGGAAGACAGAGGTTGCAGTGAACTGAGATCACACCACTGCACTCCAGCCTGGGCAACAGAGTGAGACTCCAGCCTAAATAATAATATTAATAATAATAATATTATTAATTAGGAAAAATGACTTCAGCTATGTTTCAGAAAATTCAGGATAAAAAATTTGTCTCATCCAAGTTTCTAAAAGATTTAAGGAGGCAAAGAGTTCACAATTGGTTGCCTCTTCGAAGTCATTCAGCAACCACTTTCTGACCAGTAGTCGATTCTCCCATCTCATATCTCACAAGAGATCAAGTGGGATTTTTTTTTTTTCCAGTGTGTTTTAAGGGGACACTTTCTCCCCTTCAGAAAGCAGAGGAGTCAGACAAGGACAGCTGCCCGCATGGACAGACCCCTCCACCTCCTCAGTAGAAGTGGAGATGAGGCTCTGCCCTTTGGGAAACAAAGCAAGAAATGCCACCGGCAGGATTTATAACAAGCTCCAGGCCGCAGGCCTTGTACCCTTTTCTGCACCAACGTGGAGACGTACTCCAGGGTCAGGATGGACTGGGTGCGTCCTCAGTCACAAGCAATCCCACCCCATCCCGGAAGAGGCTGGGAAGGGCATTGTCATGCCTGGGTGTGAGACCCCTGTCCCTTTCACCCACTGGCTGGCCACCCTTCCGCTTCTGAGGAGCTGGCTTTCTGTGCCTGGAAGTGTCAGTTTTAGATGGTCTGGTATAGTCCAGCGTTGGGTGTCCTCCTGCTCCTGACTTACACGCCTCAAATTTCACAGTTTAATCTCACAGGGGATTTTCTTATGGGGAGGAGAACAGGGGGTTGCCTCTCATTTTCTTCCTTTCTTGAAAATGTCTCTTTTTGGTGTTTCTCTATGTCCCCCCGCCCCTTCCCTCCTTTCCTCTCTCTCTCTTGCTCTCGTTCTTTTAACAGACTTTTAACCAGTAAGGGTAGTGGTGAGGGGAGGGAGCAAATGGCTAAAAATACATGCACACATTCACAGACACACACGCCCCCGAACCTCTCAGCGTGCCCCTTCTGACGCTGTGTAGTCCGTCCTTGGGATGGGGTCGGGGGAAATCCTGGGGACTTCAGAGTGGCAGGAGGAAGGAAACCATGGGTCTGCAGTTCCTAACTGGGAATCAGAGCCCCCTCTGAGCCCTCTTCTGGGAAGCCGTCTGTGGCCACCACCCACCTCCACTGCAAGCCCAGTGAGGGCCCCTCGCAAGGGCTCTATAGCACATGGTGCTAGCACGGCCGAGCTCTCACCAAACGGCCCTACAGTGTTCACTCCAGAGGTTCCAGGGCTCCGGGTCCAGCCTCGCTCACTCAGAAATCCCAGGCACCCAACAGTCATTCAACAACCACTTTCTGACCAACAGGTTGATTCTCCCATCTCACAGCCGACAGCTGCCCTTTACGGGAACCACTTTAAACCCTAATTTAACAGCCAAGGACACAGAGACCTTAACTGGTTAAATGATTTGCATGAGACCCTACGGCCTGTGAAAACCAGAACCGAGATTCACCCCATTCATCTGTCCTGGCTGTCCCACTGCCTCCCCAGAGACCTCAGCCACAGGGAGGGGCAGCCGGAGCCCCAAGGCCCGTTTTCTTGGTCCTAAACACCCCCCTTCAGGATTCCCTGCACAAGTCGCCCCCTTCAGGTCAAGGTAAAAAAGCAGATTCACTGGCTGGGCGCGGTGGCTCACGCCTGTAATCCCAGCACTTTGGGAGGCCGAGGCGGGTGGATCACGAGGTCAAGAGATCAAGACCATCCTGGTCAACATGGTGAAACCCCGTCTCTACTAAAAATACAAAAATTAGCTGGGCATGGTGGTGTGTGCCTGTAATCCCAGCTACTCAGG